TCCAGGTCGTGGCTAATCGGTGGTGACTTCAACTGCCTACTGCCCTGCTTGGAGAAAGTGGGGGGCTCTTCTCGATTCTACAATATCAGCCAGGAGTTTGAGGACTGGCTCTTTAACCAATGGTTGCAGGAGGTTGCCACGGACGGTCACCTATTTACCTGGGTGCGGAAGGGCCCACACGGACGAGTCTCTGAGCGCCTGGACAGCTTTGTGGCTAATGTGGCTTGGATGGAGTCTTTTGAAGGAAGCTGGGTTCGCCTTCTGTCGCGCCTCCAATCGGACCACTCGTCGCTTTTTCTTGGGCTCGGGTCCCCTCAGGTCACCCCTTGTGGCGTGAAGCCTTTTCGATTCCTTGCTTCTTGGCTCCTCCACCCGGGCTTTTCGAATATGCTTCACACCTCGTGGGACTTGTCCCTTAGATTCGTCGACATAGTGGCTCACTTCACGGAGGTGGCTCGTGAATGGAACTTTATGGTGTTCAGCAACATTTTCAGCCAGAAGAAGAAGCTCCTGGCTCGGCTTGGCGGTATTCAGAGGAGCCGACGCTTCTACTCAAGGAGAGCCTGGTGACTCTGGAGAAATAGTTGCGGACCGAGCTCGATGATGTGATCATGCAAGAGGAGCTACTTCTTCTCCAAAAATCTACACGTGAGTGGCTGAATCTGGGGGATCGGAACACCTCCTATTTTCACAGGCAACTTAAGCACCGTCGTCGCAGAGCCGGATCACAGAGCTTCAAGATGAAGGGGAAAATCTCATCACTGATGCACTAGCTCTTCGAGACCACGCGACGACTTTTTTTCAGGGGATATACACAGCCGGCCGACCGTCCCGGTCGCTGCGGAGCTTCCCAACCTCTTCCCTCTCCCCGAGTTGTCTTTGATGGGAGATTTGGTGGCTGATTTTTCAGATGAGAAGATCCACTCAGCCTTGTCTAGCATGGGGTCCTTAAAGGCACCGAGTATGGATGGGTTGAATGCCTTGTTCTTCAAACAACATTGGGACACGGTGGCCCTTCGGTTCGGGCCTTTGTGCATTCTATGTGGCGAGATGGCGTAGTTCCACGGGAGTTGAATAAGACGCTGCTTGTGCTCATTCATAAGGAGGACCATGCCTCCCATTCCGACAATTTTGACCTATCAGTCCGCTCAATGTCGTGTATAAACTTTTCACCAAAGTTTTGGTGAATCGCATGAAGGCGTCTCTGCAAGGATTGATCCATCCAGCCCAGGCCAGCTTTGTCCTGAGGCGTCAGATTGTGGATAATATTGTTGTCGCTCAAGAGCTCATTCACTCCATGCGATGTAAACGTGGCGAAGGGTTACATGGTTGTCAAGATTGATCTCGAGAAAGCCTATGACTATCTCCGATGGGATTTCATAGAAGAGACTTTGCAGCAGACTGGCTATCCGCTCAAGCTGGTTACGACCATTATGGCGAGTATCCGATCGGCCTCCATTAATATGCTATGGAATGCTACGGCAGGGGAGGAGTTCTTACCGACCCGAGGGGTCCGCCAGGGTGATCCTATTTCCCCTTATCTTTTTGTTCTTTGCATGGAGCAGTTGGCAGCTCATCTGCCAGGCGGTTGACTGCTCTGGATGGAAACCGCTGTCGGTCGGCCGTGGGTCAGTTGCGGTTCCGTTCTTGATGTTTGCCGATGATCTCCTTCTATTCTTGGAGGCATCCGATGACCAGGTGCTCGTTCTGCAGCAAACAGCTTTTTTTGCAGTGACTCGGGCCTGAAAGTGAGCTCGGAGAAAACTTTGGTCCTCTTTTCGGATAACGTGGCCCTCCAGGAACAGCACCGTCTGACGGCCGCCCTTAACTTTAGATGGACTGACAATCTCGGCAAATACCTTGGAATGCCGATGATCCATGGTCGTGTGACGACTCAGACATACTCGCATATTCTGGAAAAGTGGAATCCCGTCTGGCAGGCTGGCGTATGAAGTCTCTCTCCTTGGCAGGTCGGGTCACCCTTACCCAGTCCGTGCTGAGTGCAATTCCGTTTTACTTTATGCAATCAGCCCTGTTGCCCTGGGCCACTATTGATGGTATTGAGAGACGTAGTCAGGCCTTTATTTGGAGGAGTTCGGCGGATCAATGAAAGATTCATCGTGTAGCCTGGAAAGATATCTGTAAACATAAAGCTGAAGGGGGTCTGGGTATAAAAGACCTGAGGCTCATGAACACGACTCTTCTTATGAAGTTGTGTTGGGGACTTCTGACAAACCAGGATGCTTTGTGGGTGCGAGTCCTAACGGCGAAATACAATCTCACCCAGGCACCACGGCTAGACTCGATTACCTGCCGAAGGGGTTCCCCGTTGATAAAGGCTATTGCGAACTTGTGGCCTGAGGCGGTTAAGGGGGCACGTTGGGGCCTCGGTAATGGCGCCATGATCCGCTTCTGGCTCGACCCATGGCTCGATACCGTCGGACCCCTGATACGGCTTGCGATCAGTCCTCCGCCCGCGGGTACACTCGACTTGCCGGTGGCCGAGTTCGTCGACGAGCGTGGCGGCTGGGCATGGGAGTTATTCCATGGCTGCCTCCCGTCCTTCATCGTGCTGCGCCTTGCAAGTACCCTTCCCCCGCAACCGTCGGCTGGTGATGACCGACTTCTGTGGGGCCGGTCCAATGATTGGAGGTTCACGACCCAGTCCACTTACCAATTACTGTCATCTCCGACGAGGGACCCGTTACAACAACTTTGGCCGCTTATCTGGCGGGCACCGGCGGCTCAGCGGGTTCGGCAATTTCTGTGGCTCGTGGCGAAGGGGCGTCTTCTTACGAACGAGGAACGGGTACGACGACATATCTCGATCTCGCCGGCTTGCGACTTCTATGGCGCGCCCGAGACGGTACTACATGCCCTCTGGGACTACTCATTTGCGTGGTCTGTGTGGGACCGACTGCTTCTGGGAGCCTCCGGTGGTCGATTCTTTGAACAGTCTCTATCGGAGTGGCTACGGTCTAATCTTTCCCCGGGCCCGCGGTCCTCGACCTCCACTTGGGATAACACTTTTGCCCATGCAACGTGGAGCTTGTGGAGTGGGCGCAATGATCGTATATTCAACAATCGTTCCCTCAGCTGTGCTGAATGGATTTTATAAATCGCCCGGGTGACAGATTCATACGCTAATATGGCTACGGCGTTGCGACTGGTCGGGGCTGACGTTCACACTACGCGCATGGTTCACTGGAGTCCGCCTGACCCGGGCTGGGTTAAGGTGAACAGTGACGGGGCTTTTCAGAGCAGCACGAGCATGGGGTGTGCGGGCGGCCTCATTCGGGATGAGTCGGGCAGTTGGGTTGTTGGATTCCTGATGAATATCGGCCTCTGTACCATCACGGGAGCTGAATTGTGGGGACTTTTTCATGGCTTGCAGTTAGCATGAGACCGGGGTTACCGTCAAGTTATTGCCGAGGTGGATAGCATGTGTATCACGAATATGGTTTCTGGCTCCGACGACCACCATGGTATTCACGGGCCTTAGTCCAGGCTATACGAGAGTTGTTGCATAGCGATTGGCAAGTTCGGGTTGTTCACGTTCATAGAGTGGCTAACTTTGCAGCTGACCATATGGCTACTCTCGCGGTCTCCTCCCCATTGGGACTGCAGTGTGTCTCGACCCCCCCCCCC